CAAGCCGATACTGTAGCAGAATCGATTGGCAGACAGAAGAAAGGTCCATTTACGCCGCTCACTTTCTCCTGCTTCTTTCACAATGACTGAAGGATGGCCTCAGTCTTGAAGTCAACGAACTCTGAGATAGCTAACGGCTGGTAAAACGAGTATACGGTGGCAACATAAAAAATTTTCATAATCACCATTAATTGCAGTGTATTAACGACTGTCTCCAGCCGGATATCACACTTGTCTTTATGAAAAGTCGATGGTTTCGTATTCAGGCGCATTTCTGTATGTTGCTACAGAGTTTCTTTATTTCTATTATTTGTAAAATTTGACTCGTTCTACATGAATCGTCATTCAGTCGCTCTAACTCATCTGAAACTCGATAATATAACTAGCCTAAGTCTCAAGTACAGTGCACAGAGTAACCTTTGAAGTCAGACGCCAGTGTCAAAAAATCAGGAACGGCGATGATGAATGAGTCAACTCAATGTGGACATAGCCTACATTCCGAAATTTTAGGTCATTGTAAATATAAAATAATTTTTTAGAGCACTAGAACCGACCGTAATTTATAGCGGCGAAGGTTGAGCATGGGTTGTGAAAGGTGGCTTTTGTTTACTGCTCCTACGATGAATTAAAATAACCATGCCCACTAAGCAAAATGAAATTTTTGCCAAGATGAGCAAATTCAGCATTCATGTATCATACAGCAGAACTCCAGACTGGCCTATTTCATCAGGATAGAAGGCTATGTCGAACCGCACATCAGACTAGCAATCTTAAGCGAGTTACTCTTGATTTTGCTACACCTTGGCTTGTTCATGCATTCTTAATCCTATCACTAATGCGGCCAAATTATAATCGGATCAAGTCAACCAGCGTACTGAATAGTGTTCAGTTACTTACTTCTGCTTTCGCCTGCCCTATAAACTGTTTTTAGCGGCTCGACTCTTAATTATTACCGGAGCGGATTGTCTAAAAACAGTCACTCCATGACTTCCAAATTCTATGAGGTCGGTTTGAATGAGCGACTGCGAATTTCTACCGGAGGGAGACTACATGAAGACGTTCCGTTAGGCAAGAAAACGTTAAACTTGCATGAGGACGACTACGAAAACAGTCACTCAAACTTGCTCGTTATGTCAGTAATTTAATGAGTTAGATTAACGCTACTCTGACTGTGAAAGCGCACTCCTGTGGTCATGTGGAATAGGGAAGCGTGGATGACTGCTATAATCGAAATTAGACACCTTGCAATCCCTCACTACTCAACTCGCCTTGTATATTGGCGGGCTATGCGTAAACGACGAAGAGTATGTGACCTCAAACATAATGACTACCGCTCATGCTCGGCTGTGAAATTGAGCTACATATCACCCCTTGCATGGTGAGCCTGTCGATATGTTCCAGAGGGTCTCTCCGTCATAGTGGCAGATTTAGGCGCGATAATTGTCAATGAACGCCACTGTACTCAATATATTGCAAATCACATTCCAATAACGATTGTTTACCTTTGCAACGCAGCTACAATCATTAGACAGGTCTTCGTGGATGACGTATTTCAAGCGCTGAAATTGGTGCTCCGTGAAGACTGTCGTATCTCCATTTCAAGAGTCAATTGACGCCCCATGCCGACGTCCGGCTGCCTCCAATGCTTCTACACTGACAGATGGATGACCTCGCCCGAGAGGTCGACGAACGCTGAGATAAAGAAAGGCAGACGAAACAAAGAGTACACGGTGTCAGGGTACAAAAATTTCCATATATATGCGAAATCATGCAGCGCTCAGTCGAGACGAGGTGCAGAGTCCAGTTTTGTTCACAGCGGCCGTGCCTCGAATGTACGATGTTGCCTATAGACCACGATGATAATCATAAATACTCATTTGAATAGAGACCCTGACGAAGCGGAATAATATTTGTTAATTTGCACAGGTTAATTTCCATACGTGCTAATTTGCATATACGGGTGCCCTAAAACTATCGCTAAGTTTAATAACTAGATCTTCAAGTTGAATGTCCGGATTGGGTAAAATAGCATTCAGTGGACGTTGAATTACCAAACATACAATTAAGCTACAACAGCGCCCTCTTTATATCAGAATATTCCTCCTTTCTGAACATGACAATTGTTCTTTCATTTTCGTTATCATTACGCTGTATGAAAGACTACAATCTTTTAAACATTCGTTATGTCCGCTCATCTCAGCATTTTGAACTCTGATATCTGCTGCTGTTTATGTTGTTGGCGAAATAAATATAATTCATTAAGAGCAGCCCTCTGCAGAACCTAGTTCCATTCTTGAAATGTGATTGGCTGAACGCTGTAAGAACCATTTTTGTCTAGTAAGCAAAAAATAAGATACATACGTACAATATCAGTGTTCATATCACCGTTTATGAAATATATCGTACGGAGGAATTCTTTCAGTTCCGTATCAATTCCCAAGGAATTAGCATAAGCACTCTCTTGATGGTTGTTTTATCACTGTCATGCCTATCTTAGTGTAATGTTTTCAGTGCTATACTGTTTAACATCAAAATTATGGCAAAGGAATAGTTCTTTCTGTTGGACGGGAATGTTAAGCTTCCAAAAGGATTAGATACGGTGTTGCCTCTGTTGCAAGCAGTCTTCTATGCCATGTTTCAAAGATACTCAAGGAATAAAATGACTGCATAATGAGAAGCGCAGTTAAACTTCACGTGTGGAAGTTCATGTAATCCCCGATTGCAACCAAGCAGTAGTTGTTCGTCAGTTTGGCAAACACATCGATGCCATTGTCACTTCTTAACTAAGGACGATGAGCAGTGCTTGACAAACCGACAGATTATCCGCATAGAGATAAAGTGAGATATTCCAAGAGTGATTTCGACAGGTTTAGGTACGGTCAAAGTTCTCAAAATATGAGACATCTTCAACAAAACAGCTGAATGTAAACATTAGACCTCCAGATGCACCAGTCAACCCCAGGAATTGAAGAAGACCACGTAAGCAAACAGTCCAACAATAAAAAGTGACTGCGTTAAAATCAACTATTATATAAAGCATAAACATGCAAATCGCGTTATATGAAAAAGGTCTCAAGCCAGGTCGTTGGTGCACTTGTAAACACAGAAAACACTCGGTTGTTTCATAACTTTTTAAAAATGTAGTCACCTTTAAACGAATTATGAACCTCTCGACTGCACAAATAGGTATGTTATCCACTAGTCTGTCACGAAAAGTTAACGTTAGCAATCTTCTAGACGATCTTCTCATAGGGTCGAAGCAAGAATTCCTCGCTCACATTGATTTATGCTATACTGCTCTTCGTTTCTATCTCCTTTCAGTTCACTCCTCGTTCTTCTTCATATGATTCTTTCACTTGTTCTTCCTCCTTTGCTAATTCTTATTCGTGCCCTTCCTCTGCATGTTCTGCTCCTGATTTGACTCGAGGTAAACAAATTTGGTGGCCGTTAAACGAAGCCTCGACACGGGTTTCGACTGCCGTTTGTGCTGCGATCTCCATGAATTACTTACAAGTTAAGTTTCGGTTGCACTAGTCATTACAATTACGGAGATCAGATGAAATTACTTAGGACCGATCGCTTTTTTTCTCGATGCTACTTTTGTCATTGCCCGATAACTGTTTCGGCTCAGCATTTCCGATGAACCCTATTTGAACTTCAATTTTTTTCTCAGTATCGATATTTGAAGCAGTAAGTTGTCACTCGACTCTCCGAAGCACATACACTTCCATGGTCATTTGCCGCCATCTGCGGATTCACCTACCGTTCAGAACCTTCGGCATCGTATCACTGTCTTGAGAAGAACTTTCATTGAAAATATCAATCACATTAGTGATATTTTGAGAAAATTTTCTTGCTTTCGTTCGTGGTGTTTGACAGAACGATGGAGTATGGTATCTTTTATGCACCGAAGAAAGTTCAAATGGGCACTCCTGCATTTGTGCCCTTCTAAAGGTCTGTGAAAGGCTCGTTTGTGCCTCTATGAACTTTTGGCATCCACTGAATATTGGTTACCATATGATGTATGTAGATGATTATGTTTGATATAGGAAATATGTAACATTCCCGGGAAAGTGATTATTAGCTCTTTCCAATCAGAATTTTGTTGCTACGCTTTCCGGTTCAGTGGTTCAGAACATCAACTGATTGCAACATCAGCATGCAATATGTAGATAATTTTTTCAAAAGTCAGGCAAGAAGAGAAACCGCTTACGGCGAATGTGCAGGAGGTCAAAAAACGCGTCAAAATATGAAAGCAGGAGCAAAGAACAAGAAGTAAACACAGGAAAACAAGAATCAGGCAATATGAAACTAACTTTGAGATAGAGCATCGCCTAAAACATGAACAGAATGATGAAATAGCCTTAAATGTATAGGACAATTGACTAATTATCGCGAGGAATGGCACCCTCGTAACTGGATATGTCGAAGGGACGGAAGCCG